TTTTAGACTTTATGACTATTTAATGCATAATTGAATGAGCATCATAATGGCCAAGGGTAGAATTATTTTGTAGAAAAAGTTTTATTGATAAGTAAAAGTTGATCTACTTTTTCACAATCATATTAGGCACAATTATAACACAGCTTTAGTGTCTCTGATGTGTCTATAAACAGAAAAAGCACTAATTCTGGTAGATAAATGTACACAAAGGGAGTGATTATGCACAACTTCAGTGAATTACCTCCCTTTATTTATTGAGAAACTTAGATAAGTGCATACATTCTAGTTTCTGGCTACCTAATTGAGAAGAAAATACACAATACTATCCATTCCAAGTACATTTTGGTCTGAAGAGGTGATTTACATGGTAAAACACCTGAAAGAAGGTTTCAATTGTCATATTTGGCTCCAAATGAATGCAAAAATGGCCAAAAAATGGGTGTAGAGGTCAGATTTTAGGCTATTACTGTGCTGTTAAGTCCAGTGGAACTTGGTTTTTCCATATATTGCATTTTTTAATATCCATGTGAGAGAGAGACAAGATATATATAAAGAATTTTGGCATTTTATTGACATTTTGGCTTGTATTTAAGACTATATAAGCAAATATTTGGAGTAAACAAATACAGCAGGGGCAGTTTTAAAATACCTAGTTACACCCAAAATGTTGCTATGTGTGTACAAATAATGTGTAATCCATAGTCAGGTCACTATACAGTAGTTATTAAGTATGTTTGCTAAGCTAAATCTTCATTCAGGAAGTCTATTGGTAATAAAATGTTGAAATTTGGGTGAAAAATCACTTATTTTGTTATGGGTGGGGTGATAAAATTGCTCCCTGCTACATCTTTTTGTTAGAAAATTAGTATTTTGAAGCACTTCTGTAATGAAAACAGTGTAGTTTTGCTATCTGGGTGATTTTATGGAAGTTGTTACAAAATTGACTTCAGAATAATGAATTATTTATGAAAATCACATGCTAACATTCTTTTTCAGAATATCCGGAATGCGACATAGTGGCGCCTGTTAGAAAAAAGGGAACTTCAAAGTTTTAAATGACTTAAGAGTGGTGAAAATGCATCCATATAATTGGTAATTGTATATGCAACTTCATTTATTATTAGATATTAGAATACTAAACATTTAATATTCCCTTTAAAGAGAGGGAAATTGGAACTGTCATAATTCATTTGTTGTACTTTGTCTTCATTGATACGCCACGAAAAGCTGATATTTTGGAAGAATGGATGTATACAGCCTGTCTAGGTATAAAATTTCATTATTTCAATGCAACTGTTGGTGTTTACAGCAGATAATGTGTCAAGGGGGTCAATCTACAAGCATTGTTTACATATGAAGAAGAGTATTATTGTTACTTAAAAGTTAATAATGGTTTGTGTTTTCTTTAAACAGTGAATTTGAGTGATAATTAATTGGTGATATGTTGATGATGAATAATGTTGACCTTGGTCATTAAAAATATTTTTCAGATTTCAAAGAAATGCTGTACATTGGATATACACATGCCAGGTTTGAAGACTTATGTATAACTTGACAGGACCTGATGTAAGCACATTGGCCACTTTTGATGGGTGTTGCAGGTATATCAATACAAATGCATATTGTCAGGTTCAAAACTAATAGATTAATACTAGAAATAGTCTAGGGTGCTGTTTCGGTTAACTTTTCGACTTATTTTAGGGGCGGACATTTCTTCGCTCGGCACTAATATTTTTCCATTTTGCTCATATAATAACATAGAATGTCACAAATAAATTGCTTCTATGTCTGTTTCCCATATAAGAATGTTTTGTGTTTCATTTACAGGCATAGATAGCATAAAAGCTTCAAATAAATAGCATTTTAAGGATTCTGTCTTAAAATTTACTTGGTTTCAGGGCATGAATATCAATACATACTTAGAAATTGAAATCCATTGAAAAATGTAGCATAATTAAAGTTAGGTAGCCTCTGAATAGCCTCTTATTATGTGGTTAAGATGCAAAATAGTGATTAGAATTTATTGTTTTCTATTTGGTAATACATATTTACACACTCACAATGTATAATGCCATAGTTTTTAGACTTTATGACTATTTAATGCATAATTGAATGAGCATCATAATGGCCAAGGGTAGAATTATTTTGTAGAAAAAGTTTTATTGCTAAGTAAATGTTGATCTACTTTTTCACAATCATATAAGGCACAATTATAACACAGCTTTAGTGTCTCTGATGTGTCTATAAACAGTAAAAGCACTTATTCTGGTAGATAAATGTACACAAAGGGTGTGATTATGCACAACTTCAGTGAATTACCTCCCTTTATTTATTGAGAAACTTAGATAAGTGCATAAATTCTAGTTTCTGGCTACCTAAATGAGAAGAAAATACACAATACTATCCATTCCAAGTACATTTTGGTCTGAAGAGGTGATTTACATGGTAAAACACCTGAAAGAAGGTTTCAATTGTCATATTTGGCTCCAAATGAATGCAAAAATGACCAAAAGAATGGATGTAGAAGTCAGATTTTAGGCTATTACTGTGCTGTTAAGTCCAGTGGAACTTGGTTTTTCCATATATTGCATTTTTTAATATCCATGTGAGAGAGAGACAAAATATATATAAAGAATTTTGGCATTTTATTGACATTTTGGCTTGTATTTAAGACTATATAAGCAAATATTTGGAGTAAAAAAAATACAGCAGGGTCAGTTTTAAAATACCTAGTTACACCCAAAATGTTGCTATGTGTGTACAAATAATGTGTAATCCATAATCAGGTCACTATACAGTAGTTATTAAGTATGTTTGCTAAGCTAAATCTTCATTCAGGAAGTCTATTGGTAATAAAATGTTGAAATTTGGGTAAAAAATCACTTATTTTGTTATGGGTGGGGTGATAAAATTGCTCCCTGCTACATCCTTTTGTTAGAAAATTAGTATTTTGAAGCACTTCTGTAATGAAAACAGTGTAGGCTTGCTATCTGAGTGATTTTATGGAAGTTGTTACAAAATTGACTTCAGAATAATGAATTATGTATGAAAATCACATGCTAACATTCATTTTCAGAATATCCGGAATGCGACATAGTGGCACTTGTTAGAAAAAAGGGAACTTCAAAGTTTTAAATGACTTAAGAGTGGTGAAAATGCATCCATATAATTGGTAATTGTATATGCAACTTCATTTATTATTAGATATTAGAATACTAAACATTTAATATTCCCTTTAGGTCAGGGTAACGCATTGTAACACGGCCAGCGATTGGCTGAAAAAAAGTGCAGGGAAAACCGTATGAGTCAATTTATACATGAGGTGATTGGATGAAAGTGGGGTATTTTTAAGTATAAAAACTAATTTAAAAAGTAACACTACATTGTTTTCTGAAGAAAATGAAATATTTCATGAGTCTCTGTGATAATTTTGACTTGGATATTTGCATTTATAAAAAGTGTATGTCAGTCCTGTGATCAGCAGAAAATTTCAATGAAATGGGGGGTAATCCTCTTTGAAGTCATTTTGCAAAAAATTTGGTCGGCTACCCCTATATAACAGGAACATTTTTATGTGTCAGGCATTTCATTCTGCTAGAAAAATTACCTCTTTAGCATGAAAACTCAATTTTAAGGTAGGATTAGGGACCATTTCTTATAATGTAAGTCTATGGAGATATCAATGTGAGTGTCTGACCTAAAGAGAGGGAAATTGGAACTGTCATAATTCATTTGTTGTACTTTGTCTTCATTGATACGCCACGAAAAGCTGATATTTTGGAAGAATGGATGTATACAGCCTGTCTAGGTATAAAATTTCATTATTTCAATGCAACTGTTGGTGTTTACAGCAGATAATGTGTCAAGGGGGTCAATCTACAAGCATTGTTTACATATGAAGAAGAGTATTATTGTTACTTAAAAGTTAATAATGGTTTGTGTTTTCTTTAAACAGTGAATTTGAGTGATAATTAATTGGTGATATGTTGATGATGAATAATGTTGACCTTGGTCATTAAAAATATTTTTCAGATTTCAAAGAAATGCTGTACATTGGATATACACATGCCAGGTTTGAAGACTTATGTATAACTTGACAGGACCTGATGTAAGCACATTGGCCACTTTTGATGGGTGTTGCAGGTATATCAATACAAATGCATATTGTCAGGTTCAAAACTAATAGATTAATACTAGAAATAGTCTAGGGTGCTGTTTCGGTTAACTTTTCGACTTATTTTAGGGGCGGACATTTCTTCGCTCGGCACTAATATTTTTCCATTTTGCTCATATAATAACATAGAATGTCACAAATAAATTGCTTCTATGTCTGTTTCCCATATAAGAATGTTTTGTGTTTCATTTACAGGCATAGATAGCATAAAAGCTTCAAATAAATAGCATTTTAAGGATTCTGTCTTAAAATTTACTTGGTTTCAGGGCATGAATATCAATACATACTTAGAAATTGAAATCCATTGAAAAATGTAGCATAATTAAAGTTAGGTAGCCTCTGAATAGCCTCTTATTATGTGGTTAAGATGCAAAATAGTGATTAGAATTTATTGTTTTCTATTTGGTAATACATATTTACACACTCACAATGTATAATGCTATAGTTTTTAGACTTTATGACTATTTAATGCATAATTGAATGAGCATCATAATGGCCAAGGGTAGAATTATTTTGTAGAAAAAGTTTTATTGATAAGTAAATGTTGATCTACTTTTTCACAATCATATAAGGCACAATTATAACACAGCTTTAGTGTCTCTGATGTGTCTATAAACAGTAAAAGCACTTATTCTGGTAGATAAATGTACACAAAGGGTGTGATTATGCACAACTTCAGTGAATTACCTCCCTTTATTTATTGAGAAACTTAGATAAGTGCATAAATTCTAGTTTCTGGCTACCTAATTGAGAAGAAAATACACAATACTATCCATTCCAAGTACATTTTGGTCTGAAGAGGTGATTTACATGGTAAAACACCTGAAAGAAGGTTTCAATTGTCATATTTGGCTCCAAATGAATGCAAAAATGGCCAAAAAATGGGTGTAGAAGTCAGATTTTAGGCTATTACTGTGCTGTTAAGTCCAGTGGAACTTGGTTTTTCCATATATTGCATTTTTTAATATCCATGTGAGAGAGAGACAAAATATATATAAAGAATTTTGGCATTTTATTGACATTTTGGCTTGTATTTAAGACTATATAAGCAAATATTTGGAGTAAAAAAATACAGCAGGGGCAGTTTTAAAATACCTAGTTACACCCAAAATGTTGCTATGTGTGTACAAATAATGTGTAATCCATAGTCAGGTCACTATACAGTAGTTATTAAGTATGTTTGCTAAGCTAAATCTTCATTCAGGAAGTCTATTGGTAATAAAATGTTGAAATTTGGGTGAAAAATCACTTATTTTGTTATGGGTGGGGTGATAAAATTGCTCCCTGCTACATCCTTTTGTTAGAAAATTAGTATTTTGAAGCACTTCTGTAATGAAAACAGTGTATTTTTGCTATCTGAGTGATTTTATGGAAGTTGTTACAAAATTGACTTCAGAATAATGAATTATTTATGAAAATCACATGCTAACATTCATTTTCAGAATATCCGGAATGCGACATAGTGGCACTTGGTAGAAAAAAGGGAACTTCAAAGTTTTAAATGACTTAAGAGTGGTGAAAATGCATCCATATAATTGGTAATTGTATATGCAACTTCATTTATTATTAGATATTAGAATACTAAACATTTAATATTCCCTTTAGGTCAGGGTAACGTATTGTAACACGGCTAGCGATTGGCTGAAAAAAAGTGCAGGGAAAACCGTATGAGTCAATTTATACATGAGGTGATTGGATGAAAGTGGGGTATTTTTAAGTATAAAAACTAATTTAAAAAGTAACACTACATTGTTTTCTGAAGAAAATGAAATATTTCATGAGTCTCTGTGATAATTTTGACTTGGATATTTGCATTTATAAAAAGTGTATGTCAGTCCTGTGATCAGCAGAAAATTTCAATGAAATGGGGGGTAATCCTCTTTGAAGTCATTTTGCAAAAAATTTGGTCGGCTACCCCTATATAACAGGAACATTTTTATGTGTCAGGCATTTCATTCTGCTAGAAAAATTACCTCTTTAGCATGAAAACTCAATTTTAAGGTAGGATCAGGGACCATTTCTTATAATGTAAGTCTATGGAAATATCAATGTGAGTGTCTGACCTAAAGAGAGGGAAATTGGAACTGTCATAATTCATTTGTTGTACTTTGTCTTCATTGATACGCCACGAAAAGCTGATATTTTGGAAGAATGGATGTATACAGCCTGTCTTAGGTATAAAAATTCATTATTTCAATGCAACTGTTGGTGTTTACAGCAGATAATGTGTCAAGGGGGTCAATCTACAAGCATTGTTTACATATGAAGAAGAGTATTATTGTTACTTAAAAGTTAATAATGGTTTGTGTTTTCTTTAAAAAGTGAATTTGAGTGATAATTAATTGGTGATATGTTGATGATGAATAATGTTGACCTTGGTCATTAAAAATATTTTTCAGATTTCAAAGAAATGCTGTACATTGGATATACACATGCCAGGTTTGAAGACTTATGTATAACTTGACAGGACCTGATGTAAGCACATTGGCCACTTTTGATGGGTGTTGCAGGTATATCAATACAAATGCATATTGTCAGGTTCAAAACTAATAGATTAATACTAGAAATAGTCTATGGTGCTGTTTCGGTTAACTTTTCGACTTATTTTAGGGGCGGACATTTCTTCGCTCGGCACTAATATTTTTCCATTTTGCTCATATAATAACATAGAATGTCACAAATAAATTGCTTCTATGTCTGTTTCCCATATAAGAATGTTTTGTGTTTCATTTACAGGCATAGATAGCATAAAAGCTTCAAATAAATAGCATTTTAAGGATTCTGTCTTAAAATTTACTTGGTTTCAGGGCATGAATATCAATACATACTTAGAAATTGAAATCCATTGAAAAATGTAGCATAATTAAAGTTAGGTAGCCTCTGAATAGCCTCTTATTATGTGGTTAAGATGCAAAATAGTGATTAGAATTTATTGTTTTCTATTTGGTAATACATATTTACACACTCACAATGTATAATGCTATAGTTTTTAGACTTTATGACTATTTAATGCATAATTGAATGAGCATCATAATGGCCAAGGGTAGAATTATTTTGTAGAAAAAGTTTTATTGCTAAGTAAAAGTTGATCTACTTTTTCACAATCATATTAGGCACAATTATAACACAGCTTTAGTGTCTCTGATGTGTCTATAAACAGAAAAAGCACTTATTCTGGTAGATAAATGTACACAAAGGGTGTGATTATGCACAACTTCAGTGAATTACCTCCCTTTATTTATTGAGAAACTTAGATAAGTGCATAAATTCTAGTTTCTGGCTACCTAAATGAGAAGAAAATAAACAATACTATCCATTCCAAGTACATTTTGGTCTGAAGAGGTGATTTACATGGTAAAACACCTGAAAGAAGGTTTCAATTGTCATATTTGGCTCCAAATGAATGCAAAAATGGCCAAAAAATGGGTGTAGAAGTCAGATTTTAGGCTATTACTGTGCTGTTAAGTCCAGTGGAACTTGGTTTTTCCATATATTGCATTTTTTAATATCCATGTGAGAGAGAGACAAAATATATATAAAGAATTTTGGCATTTTATTGACATTTTGGCTTGTATTTAAGACTATATAAGCAAATATTTGGAGTAAAAAAATACAGCAGGGGCAGTTTTAAAATACCTAGTTACACCCAAAATGTTGCTATGTGTGTACAAATAATGTGTAATCCATAGTCAGGTCACTATACAGTAGTTATTAAGTATGTTTGCTAAGCTAAATCTTCATTCAGGAAGTCTATTGGTAATAAAATGTTGAAATTTGGGTGAAAAATCACTTATTTTGTTATGGGTGGGGTGATAAAATTGCTCCCTGCTACATCCTTTTGTTAGAAAATTAGTATTTTGAAGCACTTCTGTAATGAAAACAGTGTAGTTTTGCTATCTGAGTGATTTTATGGAAGTTGTTACAAAATTGACTTCAGAATAATGAATTATTATGAAAATCACATGCTAACATTCATTTTCAGAATATCCGGAATGCGACATAGTGGCGCTTGTTAGAAAAAAGGGAACTTCAAAGTTTTAAATGACTTAAGAGTGGTGAAAATGCATCCATATAATTGGTAATTGTATATGCAACTTCATTTATTATTAGATATTAGAATACTAAACATTTAATATTCCCTTTAGGTCAGGGTAACGCATTGTAACACGGCCAGCGATTGGCTGAAAAAAAGTGCAGGGAAAACCGTATGAGTCAATTTATACATGAGGTGATTGGATGAATGTGGGGTATTTTTAAGTATAAAAACTAATTTAAAAAGTAACACTACATTGTTTTCTGAAGAAAATGAAATATTTCATGAGTCTCTGTGATAATTTTGACTTGGATATTTGCATTTATAAAAAGTGTATGTCAGTCCTGTGATCAGCAGAAAATTTCAATGAAATGGGGGGTAATCCTCTTTGAAGTCATTTTGCAAAAAATTTGGTCGGCTACCCCTATATAACAGGAACATTTTTATGTGTCAGGCATTTCATTCTGCTAGAAAAATTACCTCTCTAGCATGAAAACTCAATTTTAAGGTAGGATCAGGGACCATTTCTTATAATGTAAGTCTATGGAAATATCAATGTGAGTGTCTGACCTAAAGAGAGGGAAATTGGAACTGTCATAATTCATTTGTTGTACTTTGTCTTCATTGATACGCCACGAAAAGCTGATATTTTGGAAGAATGGATGTATACAGCCTGTCTAGGTATAAAATTTCATTATTTCAATGCAACTGTTGGTGTTTACAGCAGATAATGTGTCAAGGGGGTCAATCTACAAGCATTGTTTACATATGAAGAAGAGTATTATTGTTACTTAAAAGTTAATAATGGTTTGTGTTTTCTTTAAACAGTGAATTTGAGTGATAATTAATTGGTGATATGTTGATGATGAATAATGTTGACCTTGGTCATTAAAAATATTTTTCAGATTTCAAAGAAATGCTGTACATTGGATATACACATGCCAGGTTTGAAGACTTATGTATAACTTGACAGGACCTGATGTAAGCACATTGGCCACTTTTGATGGGTGTTGCAGGTATATCAATACAAATGCATATTGTCAGGTTCAAAACTAATAGATTAATACTAGAAATAGTCTAGGGTGCTGTTTCGGTTAACTTTTCGACTTATTTTAGGGGCGGACATTTCTTCGCTCGGCACTAATATTTTTCCATTTTGCTCATATAATAACATAGAATGTCACAAATAAATTGCTTCTATGTCTGTTTCCCATATAAGAATGTTTTGTGTTTCATTTACAGGCATAGATAGCATAAAAGCTTCAAATAAATAGCATTTTAAGGATTCTGTCTTAAAATTTACTTGGTTTCAGGGCATGAATATCAATACATACTTAGAAATTGAAATCCATTGAAAAATGTAGCATAATTAAAGTTAGGTAGCCTCTGAATAGCCTCTTATTATGTGGTTAAGATGCAAAATAGTGATTAGAATTTATTGTTTTCTATTTGGTAATACATATTTACACACTCACAATGTATAATGCCATAGTTTTTAGACTTTATGACTATTTAATGCATAATTGAATGAGCATCATAATGGCCAAGGGTAGAATTATTTTGTAGAAAAAGTTTTATTGATAAGTAAAAGTTGATCTACTTTTTCACAATCATATTAGGCACAATTATAACACAGCTTTAGTGTCTCTGATGTGTCTATAAACAGAAAAAGCACTAATTCTGGTAGATAAATGTACACAAAGGGTGTGATTATGCACAACTTCAGTGAATTACCTCCCTTTATTTATTGAGAAACTTAGATAAGTGCATAAATTCTAGTTTCTGGCTACCTAATTGAGAAGAAAATACACAATACTATCCATTCCAAGTACATTTTGGTCTGAAGAGGTGATTTACATGGTAAAACACCTGAAAGAAGGTTCAATTGTCATATTTGGCTCCAAATGAATGCAAAAATGGCCAAAAAAATGGGTGTAAAAGTCAGATTTTAGGCTATTACTGTGCTGTTAAGTCCAGTGGAACTTGGTTTTTCCATATATTGCATTTTTTAATATCCATGTGAGAGAGAGACAAAATATATATAAAGAATTTTGGCATTTTATTGACATTTTGGCTTGTATTTAAGACTATATAAGCAAATATTTGGAGTAAAAAAATACAGCAGGGGCAGTTTTAAAATACCTAGTTACACCCAAAATGTTGCTATGTGTGTACAAATAATGTGTAATCCATAGTCAGGTCACTATACAGTAGTTATTAAGTATGTTTGCTAAGCTAAATCTTCATTCAGGAAGTCTATTGGTAATAAAATGTTGAAATTTGGGTGAAAAATCACTTATTTTGTTATGGGTGGGGTGATAAAATTGCTCCCTGCTACATCCTTTTGTTAGAAAATTAGTATTTTGAAGCACTTCTGTAATGAAAACAGTGTAGTTTTGCTATCTGAGTGATTTTATGGAAGTTGTTACAAAATTGACTTCAGAATAATGAATTATTTATGAAAATCACATGCTAACATTCTTTTTCAGAATATCCGGAATGCGACATAGTGGCGCCTGTTAGAAAAAAGGGAACTTCAAAGTTTTAAATGACTTAAGAGTGGTGAAAATGCATCCATATAATTGGTAATTGTATATGCAACTTCATTTATTATTAGATATTAGAATACTAAACATTTAATATTCCCTTTAGGTCAGGGTAACGCATTGTAACACGGCCAGCGATTGGCTGAAAAAAAGTGCAGGGAAAACCGTATGAGTCAATTTATACATGAGGTGATTGGATGAATGTGGGGTATTTTTAAGTATAAAAACTAATTTAAAAAGTAACACTACATTGTTTTCTGAAGAAAATGAAATATTTCATGAGTCTCTGTGATAATTTTGACTTGGATATTTGCATTTATAAAAAGTGTATGTCAGTCCTGTGATCAGCAGAAAATTTCAATGAAATGGGGGGTAATCCTCTTTGAAGTCATTTTGCAAAAAATTTGGTCGGCTACCCCTATATAACAGGAACATTTTTATGTGTCAGGCATTTCATTCTGCTAGAAAAATTACCTCTCTAGCATGAAAACTCAATTTTAAGGTAGGATCAGGGACCATTTCTTATAATGTAAGTCTATGGAAATATCAATGTGAGTGTCTGACCTAAAGAGAGGGAAATTGGAACTGCCATAATTCATTTGTTGTACTTTGTCTTCATTGATACGCCACGAAAAGCTGATATTTTGGAAGAATGGATGTATACAGCCTGTCTAGGTATAAAATTTCATTATTTCAATGCAACTGTTGGTGTTTACAGCAGATAATGTGTCAAGGGGGTCAATCTACAAGCATTGTTTACATATGAAGAAGAGTATTATTGTTACTTAAAAGTTAATAATGGTTTGTGTTTTCTTTAAACAGTGAATTTGAGTGATAATTAATTGGTGATATGTTGATGATGAATAATGTTGACCTTGGTCATTAAAAATATTTTTCAGATTTCAAAGAAATGCTGTACATTGGATATACACATGCCAGGTTTGAAGACTTATGTATAACTTGACAGGACCTGATGTAAGCACATTGGCCACTTTTGATGGGTGTTGCAGGTATATCAATACAAATGCATATTGTCAGGTTCAAAACTAATAGATTAATACTAGAAATAGTCTAGGGTGCTGTTTCGGTTAACTTTTCGACTTATTTTAGGGGCGGACATTTCTTCGCTCGGCACTAATATTTTTCCATTTTGCTCATATAATAACATAGAATGTCACAAATAAATTGCTTCTATGTCTGTTTCCCATATAAGAATGTTTTGTGTTTCATTTACAGGCATAGATAGCATAAAAGCTTCAAATAAATAGCATTTTAAGGATTCTGTCTTAAAATTTACTTGGTTTCAGGGCATGAATATCAATACATACTTAGAAATTGAAATCCATTGAAAAATGTAGCATAATTAAAGTTAGGTAGCCTCTGAATAGCCTCTTATTATGTGGTTAAGATGCAAAATAGTGATTAGAATTTATTGTTTTCTATTTGGTAATACATATTTACACACTCACAATGTATAATGCCATAGTTTTTAGACTTTATGACTATTTAATGCATAATTGAATGAGCATCATAATGGCCAAGGGTAGAATTATTTTGTAGAAAAAGTTTTATTGCTAAGTAAATGTTGATCTACTTTTTCACAATCATATAAGGCACAATTATAACACAGCTTTAGTGTCTCTGATGTGTCTATAAACAGAAAAAGCACTAATTCTGGTAGATAAATGTACACAAAGGGTGTGATTATGCACAACTTCAGTGAATTACCTCCCTTTATTTATTGAGAAACTTAGATAAGTGCATAAATTCTAGTTTCTGGCTACCTAATTGAGAAGAAAATACACAATACTATCCATTCCAAGTACATTTTGGTCTGAAGAGGTGATTTACATGGTAAAACACCTGAAAGAAGGTTCAATTGTCATATTTGGCTCCAAATGAATGCAAAAATGGCCAAAAAAATGGGTGTAAAAGTCAGATTTTAGGCTATTACTGTGCTGTTAAGTCCAGTGGAACTTGGTTTTTCCATATATTGCATTTTTTAATATCCATGTGAGAGAGAGACAAAATATATATAAAGAATTTTGGCATTTTATTGACATTTTGGCTTGTATTTAAGACTAAATAAGCAAATATTTGGAGTAAAAAAATACAGCAGGGTCAGTTTTAAAATACCTAGTTACACCCAAAATGTTGCTATGTGTGTACAAATAATGTGTAATCCATAGTCAGGTCACTATACAGTAGTTATTAAGTATGTTTGCTAAGCTAAATCTTCATTCAGGAAGTCTATTGGTAATAAAATGTTGAAATTTGGGTGAAAAATCACTTCTTTTGTTATGGGTGGGGTGATAAAATTGCTCCCTGCTACATCCTTTTGTTAGAAAATTAGTATTTTGAAGCACTTCTGTAATGAAAACAGTGTAGTTTTGCTATCTGAGTGATTTTATGGAAGGTGTTACAAAATTGACTTCAGAATAATGAATTATTTATGAAAATCACATGCTAACATTCTTTTTCAGAATATCCGGAATGCGACATAGTGGCGCCTGTTAGAAAAAAGGGAACTTCAAAGTTTTAAATGACTTAAGAGTGGTGAAAATGCATCCATATAATTGGTAATTGTATATGCAACTTCATTTATTATTAGATATTAGAATACTAAACATTTAATATTCCCTTTAGGTCAGGGTAACGCATTGTAACACGGCCAGCGATTGGCTGAAAAAAAGTGCAGGGAAAACCGTATGAGTCAATTTATACATGAGGTGATTGGATGAATGTGGGGTATTTTTAAGTATAAAAACTAATTTAAAAAGTAACACTACATTGTTTTCTGAAGAAAATGAAATATTTCATGAGTCTCTGTGATAATTTTGACTTGGATATTTGCATTTATAAAAAGTGTATGTCAGTCCTGTGATCAGCAGAAAATTTCAATGAAATGGGGGGGGAAACAATCAATTAGGCACAATTATAACACAGCTTTAGTGTCTCTGATGTGTCTATAAACAGAAAAAGCACTTATTCAGGTAGATTAATGTACACAAAGGGTGTGATTATAATGCACAACTTCAGTGAATTACCTCCCTTTATTTATTGAGAAACTTAGATAAGTGCATAAATTCTAGTTTCTGGCTACCTTAATAAGAAGAAAATATACAATACTAGTCATTCCAAGTACATTTTGGTCTGAAGAGGTGATTTACATGGTAAAACACCTGAAAGAAGGTTTCAATTGTCATATTTGGCTCCAAATGAATGCAAAAATGGCCAAAAAAATGGGTGTAGAAGTCAGATTTTAGGCTATTACTGTGCTGTTAAGTCCAGTGGAACTTGGTTTTTCCATATATTGCATTCTTTAATATCCATGTGAGAGAGAGACAAAATATATATAAAGATTTTTGGCATTTTATAGACATTTTGGCTTGTATTTAAGACTATATAAGCAAATATTTGGAGTAGAAAAATACAGCAGGGGCAGTTTTAAAATACCTAGTTACACCCAAAATGTTGCTATGTGTGTACAAATAATGTGTAATCCATAATCAGGTCACTATACAGTAGTTATTTAGTATGTTTGCTAAGGTAAATCTTCATTCAGGAAGTCTATTGGTAATAAAATGTTGAAATTTGGGTGAAAAATCACTTATTTTGTTATGGGTGGGGTGATAAAATTGCTCCCTGCTACATCCTTTTGTTAGAAAATTAGTATTTTGAAGCACTTCTGTAATGAAACAGTGTAGTTTTGCTATCTGAGTGATTTTATGGAAGTTGTTACAAAATTGACTTCAGAATAATGAATTATGTATGAAAATCACATGCTAACATTCATTTTCAGAATATCCGGAATGCGACATAACGGCGCTTGTTAGAAAAAAGGGAACTTCAAAATTTTAAAAAATCTTAAGAGTGGTGAAAATGCATCCATATAATTGGTAATTGTATATGCAACTTCATTTATTATTAGATATTAGAATACTAAACATTTAATATTCCCTTTAGGTCAGGGTAACGCATTGTAACACGGCCAGCGATTGGCTGAAAAAAAGTGTTGAGAAAACCGTATGAGTCAATTTATACATGAGGTGATTGGATGAAAGTGGGGTATTTTTAAGTATAAAAACTAATTTAAAAAGTAACACTACATTGTTTTCTGAAGAAAATGAAATATTTCATGAGTCTCTGTGATAATTTTGACTTGGATATTTGCATTTATAAAAAGTGTATGTCAGTCCTGTGATCAGCAGAAAATTTCAATGAAATGGGGGGTAATCCTCTTTGAAGTCATTTTGCAAAAAATTTGGTTGGCTACCCCTATATAACAGGAACATTTTTATGTGTCAGGCATTTCATTCTGCTAGAAAAATTACCTCTTTAGCATGAAAACTCAATTTTAAGGTAGGATTAGGGACCATTTCTTATAATGTAAGTCTATGGAAATATCAATGTGAGTGTCTGACCTTATAGGTAGAGGTCTGTTCGATTGCGAAAAGTGTTTGAAAAAGATGTCAGAATAGATATAAAAACACAATAATGATATTTTCAAGATGTTTCTAACAGCTTTTCAATAAATACACGAATAAAAAAATAAATATGACAGATCGCCTTTTTGATACTTTTGTGGCCGATTGGTTTTCTCTTCTGAGCTGTTGTAGTCATTATATTCTTTTCTCGAACTGGACAGAAGACTAACTTACAGTTGCAAAATTATCCGTGGAATTAGTATACAGTATCTACTTAATCTTTGTTTTATTATAAATTCCTATTCAAATCAAATTTCGTTTTGATTAAAATCAAATAAAAAAATATTAATTAATATTGTTTAATTCTAAGATGACAATTAATTGGGAAAACATTGCGTGTAAAAATAAACTAAAATAAAACTATAATTGAAGACGAAATAAATGTTCTGTTTGCGGTTAGCATGGTGAGTAGTAGTTTATCCCATGCAAGTTAACAAGTTTGACTTCGCCCGAGTATCTTTTTAAAGATACTTCTTGTTTTACTTTATGGAAGATTTTAAATAACATGGCACAAATAAACACCATCATGAGACTATGCGCTTATGATATGCATGGCATAATATCAAATGGCTGGTAAAAGGTCAAGAAGTACACATTCATGTTCACTGCAGAAAAGGATTTAGCTGTCCTTTAGACTGTCTTGTTTAAATTAATTTATGTACAGATACACCCTTCTATCCATAGCTTCAAGTAAAAATTTAGCAACATGCAAATAATAATAATTGACAGCATATACTAACTCACTTACTTCATACATATGTTCAAAATAAGGATTTCTATCTTTACATCTTGATTACAGATTCTCTCGTAAATGCAGTTCAAAAGTTTAAATGAAAATGAGTCTCATCTTCCACAACATTAACTGGACAAAAGTGACAAAATATTTTGTTTACATTTAAAACGACATTTCTTCCCGTTTCTATCTTTAATGGAAGAATACCACATCGGTATTGAGCTAAATAAGACCGTTCAATCTTAATAAATGGCGTAAGCAAATTATTTTCAGCATTATAATGTTGTTTAAATTCAAAATATGTTCTAAGTTTAGAAACATTCATGACATTATATCACCAATCCGTTTTATTTTATATTTAAAAAACAATGCATCTACAACATCTTTCAGGTTTACAGGTAACTTTCCGTCTTATCTGTGATATGCAGGCTTCATAACTTCAGATTCCCTTTCAAAATTCCATTTTATTTAGTTCCGCTCATTGTTTTCTCATTTAGGGCAAAAACATTCTTTTACTTGGGGGCCATACGCCGCTTTCCATGGAATGGTATTTCTGTGTCACATTGAAGGTTCAATGATGACCGCCGTATGAACACATCTTTGAATGTTTCTAAATTCGAAATTTCACAATTTTCGTGTTAAATGTTGAATTCTGCTTAAGCCGGTGCTAGAGGATGTGGACGGTAACTTGCACTTTCCAGTACCGTTCATAAACAGGCTCAATCAAACCGAGCATGCAACATTTTCAATTTTGTTTTGTTGGACTTTCTTTGGGGATTCTGTTTTTCTCTATTTTCATAGTAATGTGACATTTGAATTTGTTTCAATGTAGTCTTTACATCATAGCAATATTTTTTTCCGAAACAATTGTTATCATAAGAGAAGATTTATTACGAATTCTATCGTCCGGCATAATAACAAGCCGATTCCAAAATCGTAAAATGTTAATCCAACGTCTATGTTGAGTGGAAATCCAACCCATATCACCATTTATTGCTATAATGGTGCAAAGCCGACATCTTTATAATTATATACTTTAGAAATAATTGCACCTAGTGCTAGGCCACCAGATTTAGACAACATTTCATCTGTTTGAGTAAAATCTAAGTGCTCATGTAAATTAACACCCAAATATTAATAAATATCCGTAAACAATACAAAACAATCGCCTATTCTAAACTGAAAATTATTTCTATTTTTACACTTTATTTCTGACATATAAACAACCTTTGACTTTTCTTTATTAATTACATGTATAATAATAAGTCGCCATATCCGACACCATTCATGAACATAATTTAACATGTCATGCATGTCTTGTTCATTCTCAGCATAAAATAAACAACAAGGTATATCATTATCAAACTGTCCACCCTAGTTAAGCGTCTTTAAACCTTCAGCTAGATCGTTTGTGAAGTAAACAAAGATTGCTGGCGATCCGCTGTCTTCTTGCTTTACGCCAGACAGAGTCGGGAACCAGTCCGTTGACATACAGTTTAACTTAACACAAGAAGATGTATCCGTCAAAATAGCCTTAATTGAGTTATAAAAATTTCCATTTATATTGCATGTATTTGACAAACGTGTATACAAAAGAACATCCCTATTGACAAAGTCAAATGCCTTTTTTATATCAATGAGTGTTCCAAAAGTATCACGTCTACTCAAAAGACTATTTTTAATAATAGTACATGAGTTATATACATGGCCCTAACACGACCGTTTTGAACGAAATCCGACCTGCTCATCAACAAGTAACTCTTGATCTTCTTAATGTTTCTTTAGTCTATTATTTAGCGCAGCTGAATATAATCTGCTAACCACCAAGAGTAAACTTATTCTTCTGTAATTCAGGGGTATACGTATATCTTAAGTAATAACTTTTGGTATAGGGGCAATCATTGCTTTTTGCCATATACTTGGTATAATACCCGCATCAAAACACAAGCTATAAAGTAAATAGAGTACATCTATAATGATTTGAAATTTTAACACTTCACATGGAATTTTATCAAGTGCCGTGCTTTTACCATTTTTGGCGCCTTTTACAACAATTTCAATTTCATTACGATTCAATGGCAAATTACGAGCAGGATTTTCTTCGAATAAGGGGTCGAGCATCTGATTTTCCATAAATCATCATACACATTAAGTGGTGTCTAAGGTTTCCGTTTCGGACCAACAGTTTTAATATGATCCCAGGATGATCTAGGGTCATTTCTGCAAGTACGCTCAATCTCGAGCGAAAGATTTTACTTGGTGAGGGTTTTTCTTCTGTATACAACACACTTATATTCCGGTTTCGACATTAATCTCTTCTTTCAACGGAATATCTCGATGTTTTGCTAGAGGATGTCAAAAGTATTTTGCCGTAACAGGGGTTTACCGGTATTCCTGTTTATGCATCGACTTGCGTCAGTAATTTTCACATTGCTTGATCGCCTAACGGTTGTTTTTCTTGGTGCAACGATAAATTAGGAGCAATTATCGT